AGTCTTTTGGCGCCCTCAAATATAAATTCTCTCTGATAGCACTCTCTCTCTCTCTCTCTCTCTCTCTCTCTCTCTCTCTCTCTCTCTCTCTCTCTCTCTCTCTCTCAGAGCAAATGTAAATAGTAATAATAATCCATTGAACACATCGGCTGTTCACATGTCGGATTCATTGTCCCTTTTTGGCTATGTAAGTTAGATAAGTGAAATATATTTACAATTACAGGCATAAAAAATGCATACCGAACTGGGACATACAGTAAAAAACTGTAATAGATGTATACAGCATGTTGACACAAATGGAGACATGCATGCTCTGTGCAGAGTGGTAGACGTTGCTTTAGAGTTCCCGGCAGTAAACGTCCTTTGGATCTTTTCTGCAGGTGTGCAGATGTTTTAAGAAGTTAACACACAGATTGGCTGGCTGGTTGTACGACACTGGGAGGTGAACTGATGCATGAAACGCTAAATATGATCAAGGCCCTTTGGGGGAAGTGAACTCTGCTGAAGCGCATAGATCATTACGGGCAATAATGATCGGTGCTGCTGGAAAGTGACAAGGGCATCTGGCTGAAACTACATTTAGTGAAAAGCAAGACGGTAATTTAATCAAGCCGCTTCTGGTGCCATACAACTGGAATTCTTAGCTGGCTGCTAAAGATAAGGATTGAGCGCTTATGATAATGTCCCGCGTGGTGTGGTATTGGTTGACACAAACAGACAATAACAGTAATATTATAAATGTTATGACGCCTCCATCCATGGCTCTAGATTGCCACATCCGGTGAACAGATTGAAATGCATGCTGGGACATCGCGCATGCCCAGCAGACAATCGGCCATGATAAATATGAAAATATATACAGACGATGGTTGGAGATTTTCTGCCATTCGTTGGCTGTCACGGAGATATTGTTGACACTCGATTCAAGGGATTATATCGACTGATTGTTCTTCTTCGTTGACGTACAGCAACCGGTGTCAGCGGCTAGACAGTAAGTGTAGAAACAGCATATGCAGCCGTGTCCCCTGTCTGAGGACCGACGAGATGTCCGAACGGCACCGATCATCTACAGTTCTGGTTGTTGCTAAAGCTGTCTGCTGTATTTACGTATTTATTATCTGGCCTGTCACACATTAACGGCCAGAACGTCTGCTTCTTGCTGAGGGCTGGCGAAGGGGTTATAGACACGTCCGTCTTACACGGGTCTTGGCAGATGTTTGTTTCCGACACTCCCCTTAAGTTGCGGCTTGGGGTAGCATGAACCACCACAAATATTTTTATTTGCAACACTTGTTTAGTTTTTATAAACATGATATTGTCATAATTGCTGCTGCGGTGTACAATATATACATAATGACATAATGTGCTAATTAATTATAAAAAAGGGAGAAATGTGTTTATAATTGTAGTATATTAACAGTAGTAGAAATATCCACTGTTTTGTTTTATTTAGCAGCCATCTTCTACTGGAGATGACACTCCTACCTACACATTTGCCCAGTAGTATTCAGTCATTGTTGTACCCCAGTGAGTTCAGTAGGAACACGACAAGGAAACAGTTACCTCCACTTGTAAGATCTTTTGTATAGGCCTAAATAAATATACATGTTTATGGTAATTTATCTCTTTCAACCAGTAACGATTGGCACCTTTTCGTCTTTCCAGAGGATAGTGTTATTTGGCTCTGAGGCATGGACTCACAGCCCATGGCGATGGCGAGTATGACTAGCAAGACACGCCCGCAATTACAGTCAGGGATGAAGTTCGTCCTCTCCATAGCACAAAGCCTGGGCAGTATTGTAGAGACCATATGTTGCCAATGCATCGTGATCCCTCTCTCACCCTGCCTTGTTTACTCAAAGGAAAGGTAACACCAGTGGGTTGGGAACAAAGAAGGCTGCAGAAGTTGCCGGATCAGAAGAGCTGTGCTCTTTCTATCCGCCTGTCAAAGCGTCCGTCCGAGACCAGCTGCCAGTCAAGGCTAAGTGCCTGGTCTGCCCTGCCATAACAGTTTTCAGGTTGCATTTCCTCTTCCTAGAGTAGAACTAGTTATGTGTTGTGTTATGAGTTAGATTATCATCACAGCACTCTGGACACATCCATAGGTGCTCAGCTTTCCCTCTCAACATATTCCATCAGCGTTGTGCGGTTGATAGTGCCAGTCCTATGCAGGTTGACTTTATGTGCATCCGGTGTGCTTCTCAAGCTTGGCTGTGCTGATCTTTACTCCCAATTCTCATATTCTTGGCAGTGATGTGGACATGTTGCTTCCTCAAATCCTCAAAACGTCCTTTCTCTCTAATGGGTCGGTTATCTTTAATTAATGTGGCACCTGCCTGTCTGTCAGCTTTTTAATTACTAGTAACACTTGCATACCCTGGAACAAATATGAAGGTAACTGCACACACAGGAGAGTTTTACAGTGACTCAGTCCACTGACTGTGTAAACAGCCTGCCTCGACCTGCTTGATCATGCTAAAAAAATGACTCAGCACACACACACCGGAAAAGTTCTGTGATTCACGCCACATGAAAGCTTGTGTCGCCATCACCTCCATTTTAATGCTTCTGGTAGTCATGGAAAAGGCACTGCTGGCTTTTTGAAATATTCTGCCTGAAGAGCGAGCTGTAAATGTCCTTGTACTCTTATGTCCTCATATAACTGATCTGTCTGTGAAGATGAGCACAGCTGTCTCATCTGACTTGTCACTGATAAGTGCGCATACCTCGGCGTTGACAGGTAAGGCTCGTATCCTCCCAAATGTGCTCCTCTGCCCAAAGCCGTTGGCACAAAATGGGATGTCAAGTTTGTTATATGCCGCCCAATATTCGACATAACAGAAGACATGTAGTACTGGCTACTGTTATACAACAGCTCAGTCAATCAGTAAAATCTTCAAAAATGCCCCTTTAAAAAAATTTTATTAAAGCAAAACGCATCCTTATATTTTTCAGAAACTGCACCCTAAGAAACTAGAAGCAGCAGAAAAAATTTGGGACACCACTTGGAACGGCAACCCTTAGAAGCGCAATCAAATATTACCTAAATATACTTTAAACGCTGACCCTAGGGGACATAATCTATTATTTGTTTAAGTCCACATAAAAATATTCTTTAATATTTATTATTTTTTTGAAATTATGGTTAGGAAGGATTAGGGTTAGAGACAGACTAATCCTAACCCTAACCTGAAGCCATATTAAATGTTGCAGAACATTATTATGCGAATGTGCACAAAGTATTTTGTCCCTTATGCTTGCAGTAAACAAATAGTATATTGCGTCGCTAAGGGTAACCGTTCCAAGTAGTGCCATAATTGAAGTCTTTGTCAAGTTTTAGAAAATTGTAATGGGTTGAAACCTATCACCACTGAGCAGACAGGCAAGCCTGCTGCTTTTCTGGCAGTTGCATCATAGTGGCCACAAAGTCACTAAAATATTTTTTAGAGTGTATAAATATCAAATGTAATATACATGTCTACAAAAATCAGCGGTCATTGACTATGGCCATATTTCAGTATGCTTTTCAGTGAACTGCTGAATCATAACCAGACACCACTGTGACCACTTGTCAACTCATGTGCTCTTTAGTCTCTCAAAGGGAATCCTGCCACACCAGCTACATCTGTAGTACTATGTTTTATTTTCATCATTTTGGGAAAACGGGGGACATTTAGTTAATGCTGGCTAATTGTAGCCTAGACTTGACTCTAGTAGTGACAGGTGTAGTTTGTGGTGAGATAAAATGTCAAATATCTATAAAGTTATACTGGCTAGTTGTAGCCTAGACTTGACTCTAGTAGTGACAGTTGTAGGTGGTGAGACACATCTATAAATTTATACTGTCAAGCCTAGACTTGACTCTAGTAAATAAAACGTCACACATCTATAAATGGCTAGGCTAGTTGTAGCCTAGACTTGACTCTAGTAGTGACAGTTGTAGTTTGTGGTGAGATAAAACGTCACACATCTATAAATTTATACTGGCTAGTTGTAGCCTAGACTTGACTCTAGTAGTGACAGTTGTAGTTTGTGGTGAGATAAAACGTCACACATCTATAAATTTATACTGGCTAGTTGTAGCCTAGACTTGACTCTAGTAGTGACAGTTGTAGTTTGTGGTGAGATAAAACGTCACACATCTATAAATTTATACTGGCTAGTTGTAGCCTAGACTTGACTCTAGTAGTGACAGTTGTAGTTTGTGGTGAGATAAAATGTCAACTAGCTTTTCCACCAGAGTTTACAGCCAGGGAACAAAATGAACTTTCCACCATAGTTTACGGCTGGTGAACAACCAGAACTTTTCACAGGAGTTTACAACCGGTGAACAGAACCATAACTTTCCAGCAGAGTTCACAGCCAGGAAACACGCAGAAGGAGAGGAAGACTGGTTTCATCTAGAAAACACCAGCATAGAGCATTGACACAATCACTGGAAATTAGCCTTTACCACTTGTCATTTCTGTGTAGATTTTGTTTAACTGGTTGTCATTTCTATCTGTTTTCTGTTTCACTGGTTATCATTTCTGTCTACATTTTGTTTGACTGGTTGTCATTTCTGACTAGACTTTGTTTGACTGGTTGTCATTTCTGACTAGACTTTGCTTCACTGGTTGCCATTTCTGCCTAGATTTTGTTTGACTGGTTGTAATTTCTGTCTAGATTGTTTGACTGGTTGTCATTTCTGCTTAGATTTTGTTTGACTGTTTGTAATTTATGTCCAGATTTTGTTTGACTGCATGACTGCATAAGTTAATCTGTTGTTACAAACAGTTCAGATACAAGTTTGCCTACCTGTCTGTTTCAGGATGGTTGTCATTGTGAAAGTACTGGTGTAAATTTGTGGGTTTTCATTTCACTTGACAAAATGGAGGATCTAATGACAGAAACCTGTGAAGCACAGTTTCCAGGCAGAGACAGTAGCCAGATGTACTTACTGAGGTCACCGACCTAGTTTGATTGGCCTCTTGCCTGTTGGCTATTGTTGCTAAGTAACAATGAACTATGATGCTCAGCAATATTCATTCCCTCATGGCTTGGCTACAACCTCTCAGCTTCATTTGCGACAACAGCAGCAACAGCATCAGTTTCAGCAACAGCATCACATCTTCCATCAACAGCAGCAACAGTATAGCCAAGCTGTTCCTACATCCAGTGTTTATCATTTTCAGTTTGGAGGAGCAGGTGGCCCCATCAACCGAGTGCTACAGCACAAGGACGTACACTCCATGGGGATGTCAGCCAACATGCAGCAGCCTGCAGTGGCCAGCCAAAGCTTTGTCCAACAGCCTTTCATTAAGCAAGCTGTTCCGGTGGCATTGGACGGCAATTCTGTTGTCATTAGCAGCCTCAATGGAATGATATACTCACAGCAGAAGAGTCATGTGAACAGCTTACCAGACCTCGAGAAAAGATTGGTGCTACAGTCAGAAGAAGACGTGGCTGCGCAGCAAGGTTTGATTGGCGTAGATATGGTGGCAGCCCCACGTTTGACAGAGCCAAGTGGAGATGTGCTGCGGCAACAGCTGCCATCTGGTATGAATGTTGCAAGTCAGCATATCTTCTATGATAAATCAGATAGTTCAGACTGGCTACAACCTTCACGGGTGAGCTCTGCAGGAGGTGCACACCAGACCAAGGGTGGTCAGAGCACGTTACCTTCGTTCAGTCATGTGTGGTCACAGCTGTCACAGCAGAAACAAGTGGGCCAGCTTCAACAACACAAGCATATCCAGCAGTACCACTCACAGCAACAAACCCAGCATCTCTTTCAACAACAGCAGCAGCAGCAGCAACATATGTTCACCCAGCAGAAAAAACACATACACCCCCAGCAGCAGCAACACATACAGGCCCTTCGACAGCAACTTATACAAGGTCACCAACAGCAACACATACAAGGTCGCCAACAGCAACACATACAAGGTCACCAACAGCAACACATACAAGGTCACCAACAATTCCCACCAGATCCAGCTGGTCAGGCTTTATCAGGAATTCAAGCCCTCAGGATACAGCAGAAAAATCTACAGTGCAGACATCTGTCCTGCCTCAGGAGTTCAAATGCTTGTCTGCCCCACAGACCAGTCTGCTCTCTACATATAATGTCTGTCAAGAAGCTCCCCAGACAGGCAAGGTAATACAGTTTTTAGATAAAGATGATGCGGTGCAGGCACAAGTGTTTCCTTCACAATCATCTGCTCAGTCTTCAACAAATTACACTGAGAACCGTCCTGCTAGAGCAGTCACATACACAGAATCAGGGCCTCCAAAGTTTACGGTCACTCTGGACTCTCTGTCGCACAGTGAAACTTTCTCTCTCAAACACTTCTCAGAGAGCTCCTCAGATTTCAAGCCTGCGCCAGTGAAGTTTGCCAGTGGTTCGGCATCGCCTATGGTCCTCAACAACTTGCAGCCTCCACAAGAGTGGCAGGTGCCACAACAGCAAGTTCAGCTGCCAAAACCCTTCCTGCACACCTCTTCCATGGGGAGCTCATTTGAGAGGTGTTCTTCAGAGAGTTCTAGCTTCTCCTCGCCTCCGTACACATTTACTCCGCCCAGCAGTGTTGATCTCATGTTCTCACCAGACAGCTGTCACCTCTCCAAAACTGCATCAGGCAGCTCACCCTCGTCATCATCATCATTATCATCATCATCTGGTAGAACTTCAGCACTTTCTTCTTCTTCGTCATCATTTATATCATCATCATCATCATCCCCAACTGCAGGTATCCCACTGTGGCCTGGGATCCATTCTACAGATGCAATAGTTCCTATGGTAACAACTGCTTCTTCTGTAGTCTCATTTACCTGTACAACAGCAACAGTTGTGTTCAGCTGCAGCAGTGTGGCCCTAACAACCACTTCTGTGACATCAACAACTGCCAGCCCAGCAGAACGACCTCACAGACCGTCTGTTCACTCCAGATTGCTCCCAGCCACTGTCGGGACTGACACAGCCAGTCTCTGTCCTCGCTCGGGTTCAGGATCATTAGCGACCACCTTGCACTCCTCAGCCAAGCAGATACAAGTTCCTTACAGCTGGCACCGAATGTGTGAGAATGGAGTGATTGTGTATGTGAGGTAAGTTGATTGTAGTTAGCATTCATCATGTGAGAATGGAATTATTGTGTCTGTGAGATAAGTTGTTTTAGCAATACAAATTAATGAGTTAAAATCTTGTTCCAGCAATACAAATTGATGGGTTAAAATCTTGACAAGAAACAACATACATAAACTTATTAATTATACTTTAAACACACTCAGCTGGCCTATATGTATGCAGCAGTTATTACTATATGTTATGATTTGGGCATATATTCCTGTCTTTTGCACGTGCATGCGCCACACACACACCAGGTATTCCTGTATTTGTACTTGCATGCATTGCAGGCATACATTTGTACTTACATGCGCAGGCACAGATATGTCTTACAGAAGAATCTGTAGCAAAGACACATGTGTACGTGCTGAATGTGCTCACATTCCTGTGTACACATAAATACGCTGACACTTACAAAGGCAGCAACATTGTTGAGCAGATCTGCTGAGATAAGTTCTGTAGAGAACTTTAAGATTTAAGCAAAGCACCCTCCCAAAACTTGTGTCAGCGGTTATCATATCATCACTTGTTTCCTTGTTCTCTCTAGTCCTAGTGGTACCATCCTGCGGTCTCTGGAGCAGATCTGTGCCTACCTGCTGAGTGACACCACCTGCAAGTGTGGCCTGGAGTGTCCCCTCCAGCTAGAGGAATGTTTCAGCTTTGATCCATGTGCAGAGAGTCAACCTTGGACAGTTGGCCCTGGCAATAAGCACCTGGCAAATCTTTGCAACCACAGGCGGGAAGTCCTAGCCTTGGCAGCCTTCCACAGCTCTCAGGCTGCTACTGCAGGTTTGTTGGCTGTGTTCTTGCTTGTTTTCCAGTTGTCCCATGTAAATCATTTGTCCAGTAAAAACAGGTATAGTGTAGAACATTTGTCCAGTAAAAACATGTCTAGCGATGTAGAATATCTGCTGTGAAACATATAGATCACGTTATTGTTGATCCCATTGTTACTGAGTTGTCTCGTTAGCCCAGTGCCATTGTTAAGAGGTGTAGGTATTCTGCTACCATTTAAAGCACCAAGAATTTGTCCTCAGATGGAGTGAATATGTGCCACAGTAATATTCTGTTTGGCTGGTGGACACTAGCAACAATTATTGGCCCACATTTTAGCAATTTTGATCAGTGTCTCCAACTCTGTGCTACCAGTGCCAGACATGGTCACTCACAACAAACCATAAAAGAAAATTAGTAACCACGGAAATGAGATGTCTGAGAAGGGCTGTAGGAGTGACCATAAGAGATAAGATCAGGAATGAGATCATAAGAGAAAAAGTTGGCACAGAACCAATTCTAAATTACATACAAAGACAGCAAGTGAAATGGTTTGCCCACTTAGAGAGAATGCCTTGTGACACCATACCATACAAAGCATACATGGAAAGAGAAGAAGGTCGTAGAGCAAGAGGTAGACCAAGAACCATATGGAAGGATAACATCAGAGAAGCTCTACAACAGCACGATGTGCCTATGGTTGAGTCGGCCAGAAGAGCCAGAAACAGAACCTTATATCTCCCTCGACACCCACAGCGGTAAAAGAGGAAGTGAAGAAGAAGAAGAAGAAGAAGATCAGTGTCTCTGGTTTTGAGCGTTCTGATCAATGTCTGTAGTGTTGAGCTTATTGACCCGGTGCAGGGCTAGCCTGTTGTTCCATGGGTGGAGAAGAGAGACTGTGTCGTGTGTGAAGTTCCTTGATGCACCACACACTTGCCAAGTATCTAGGTTTACTTAATAGTGTCACATTTCCAAGTCAACACTTCTGCCCAACAGCAACAGAGGGCGCCGGACACATGTTGACCATCACAATAGATTCAATGTATTTCAACATAAGGACAATAAAAGGCATCACGAGACATGAATTTCTATACTGCTGCAGTCATTCTCACTACCAAGGCAAAACACACTCAGAACGCTCTGGAAGACTTTTGCTGCCACCCTATGTGCCGTGGTTGCTACAGGCAAACATTACCCGCTTGCGAATATCCAGTGCTTGTGATTACATGACTGTCTCTCTGGCACCTATCACTTACAGTTGCTAGAGAGATCATAGAGGTCGATGCACAATACTTTGGGGAGATTATCCAGACCTTCCGTCTGCGGCCTGACACGTACTTGAGATCTCCTGATCTCACCTCACGAACCCCTGTCACGCTGGACCGGTTACTGCTGCAACTCCCGCAGATAGCCTGGACACTTAACGCCAGCATAACACACAGGTGTGCAGGACTAGTCTGGCAACATCCAGGCTAGAACATACCTTTCACTTCAGCGCTGTAGAGTCAACGGCCTTTCTCTCTTTTCACATCCGGTTCAATTCTGTACTGCGCCGCACCAAGTTTTACGTTCATTAATGCGCTTCCCTTTCATATACCCATATATTGCACACAACAGACTGCTACATGTTCCTTGTGGAGCAGTTGGTCATAGGCATCATCCTTTGGGTGGCCTGGATGTCTTTTCTGCTGGCTCCAATAATTAAACCTCTCAGTCTCTCTAGACCAGTGGTTCTCAAGCTTCTTCATGTCGTGACCCTTAAATACAGTTTGAGAACCGCTGTTCTAGACTGTCAGACTCATTCTAGACTCTATCTGACTAATTCTAGACTCGCTCAGGCAGCCTTGCGACTTTCTTTGTTGCAGATAAGACTGCTAGTTCTAACTATTGTTACACTTGCCACTGCTAGTTCTACACTGTTGTTACACTTAGCTAGGTCTACACTTGTTATACTTGGCACTGCTAGTTTTACACTGTTTTACACTTAGCTAAGTCTACACTGTTGTTACACTTAGCTAGGTCTACACTTGTTATACTTGGCACTGCTAGTTTTACACTGTTGTTACACTTAGCACCACTAGTTTTACACTGTTGTTACACTACTTAGCTAGGTCTACACTGTTGTTACACTTAGCACTGCTAGTTTTACACCTTTTTTTTTAAACACTTAGCATTGCCAGTTCTACACTGTTGTTGCACTTAGCACTGCCAGTTCTACACTGGCATCTAAAGATCACAATCACTTTAGTATTCCGGGTAGGCCTCTGTGGCTTAGGCGTTGCGAACGGGTTTTGTAATGCCGGGTTGACGGGTTCGATCCCAGCTGCAGACGGTTTGTTTTGTGTTGGTTTTGACAGTGGTTCTGAGAGCTGACCAATCAGAAAGCAGTGGCAAGCTAATGAACATAAAATTTGCCTACAAAAACTTAAACAGCCAAAAAATGCTGGAGTTTGTTCTGAAACGTCCTGTAAAGGATGCGCAACTAACTTAAGTACTCCGCGGTATCAGCTTCTGACAGCAGTATAAATTTGTTTCTCTTGCTGAAATAATCCTGGTATAAGCTCTGCTCAATTGTGACATAAAATCATGCAAATTCAGGGGTTGTTTGCCATTTTGCACCAAGGACTTCTGATACAGTGTGACTGAACTCAAACTAAAAAAAAAAAAAGCCAGAAACTATTTTTTCCCAAAACATGCATTGTGGGAATAGGACCTTTGTAAACATTGATGATTGCATTGTGAAACAATTTTTACTAAACTCTGAACATTTGACAATATACACTAACAGACCCATCTAACAATACACACTTGATGCACATACATGAAACAATGAAACAAGCCTGGAAACAACTGGAGTTTGCAGAATATTGACATTTGCAGATGATGTTCTCAAATATAGGAAGAGGAGAGATTGGGATCAAATCGCTGAAGAGTTACAGGCAACAGTAGATAAGGTGATCGACTGGTGTACAGGTATGAGTGCTGTAATCAACCCAGAAAAGGCAACCATCCTGTGGTCTTTGGACAACAGGATAGTTAAGAGCTGATGTTCCCAGACTCAGAATAAATGGCAGGGACATCAAAAGAGACAGCAGACTTCGGTACCTGGGAATTACCTTTGACAGAAGTTTATCTTTCAAGGATCACATAGATCAGGGTCACTTACTGTCTCGAAGAGTCAGCTTGAGAAACTGGAGCGCATACAGAATGAAGCTATGCGGCTGCTCCTGGGTTAAACAAGAGACACCCCGTTGTGTGCATGTGATACATCATTGCATTGCCGACTATTGCAGATAGGATAAAGGTGCTGCTGTCATTTACATGAGAGCTCTCCAAAACAGTGTATGCAAAATTTACTTTCAGCACTACTGAATTGTTTCCCTTAAAGAAACAAAGACATAGCTTACAACGAAATTTGTAGCAAAAGTGCGATCCTGGTAGCCAGAAGTAAATATCAGTCAATCAAATAACATGCAGTCTTGGTAATCGGTGGGTTAAAGGGTAGAATGAGTCAGGTAGCAGGATTGTCTCACATCATCTGGCTTCACATTTGACATTATCTAGTTTCACATCATCTGGCTTCACATTTGACATTATCTAGCTTCACACTTGACATTATCTGGCTTTACATTTGATATTATCTGAATTTACATTGTCTGGCTCCATATTATCTAGCTCCACATGATCTGGCTTCACATTTGACATTACATTTTTTGGCTTCACATTATCTGGCTTCACATTGTCTGGCTCCACATTGTCTGGCTTCAAATTTCACATCATTTGGCTTCACATTTCACATCATCTGGCTTCACATTTCACATTATCTGGCTTCACATTTCACATCATCTGGCTTCACATTTCACATCATCTGCCTTCACATTTCACATTATCTGGCTTCACATTTCATATCATCTGGCTTCACATTTCACATCATCTGGCTTCACATTTCACATCATCTGGCTTCACATTTGACATTATCTGGCATGATCTGGCCAAGATGGGACATCATGTCAGTGGCTGCACTACCTTTGGTCAGCTCTTGAGGTCATTGGAGCGGAGTATTCGTTAATGAAAAATGGGGGTTGTTTTGTGATTTTTTTCAAGGTTGTGCTCTGTTTTTCTGGTGACTTTCCTACCTCTTTTTTATGCCTGCCATATTATTCATGAGGATTTCCTACTCTGTTTCTAGGACTGCCATATAAATGAAACTTTCCTGCTTCTGTTTCTAGGTCTACCTTATTATAAGTGAGACTTTCCTAATTCTATTTTTGTGTCTACCATATTAAAAGTGAGACTTTCCTGCTTCTAAATCTGCGCCTGTCATCTTATGAGTCTTCCCTGCTTCTATTTCTGGGTCTGACGTATTTTAATTGAGACTTTCCTAATTCTGTTTCTGGGTTTTCATATTATTAATGAGACTCTCCAACCCCTGTTTCTGGGTCTACCAAGATCCACACATTTAATTCACATTCTGTTACGTTTGTTATTAAGATGTTATGTTTTGCTGTGAAAACATTTGACTGATGCTGACGAATGTTTGGTGTAAGTGTATCACCCTATGTTTGCAGATATGGCTGTGGAGACAGTAAAGAAAAGACAGCCTAGTAAGTCGGCCAGCGCTGAAGCATTGATTGTCGCTCCACTGAAGAAGCTAAAAACCAGCATCACCAATGCTGTCAACAGACATGCAGTCTCTGTGGGGCATTTCCAGGGCAAGCCAATGTCATTCAGCCGGCACACAGCGGTGGCTCCCACCACTCTACCAGTTACAGGAAGCTGTGGCAGTGTATATCAGGGCCAGATGAAAAGCAGCTTTGATGATCACAGATCAGGTCTCAGAAGAATAATGAGGGAATGCTTTCCCCAAGCAGCTTTGATGACAATAGATCAAGATCTCACAAAGATAATGAGGGAATGCTTTTCCCAAGCATCTTTTTTGATCATCAATCAAGGTCTCACAAGGATAATGAGGGAATGCTTTTCCCAAGCATCTTTGATGATCACAGATTGCTGTCCCCAAATATCTTGCCACACACCGGTGGTCAGGCTGAGAACAAGTCTGTCTGCCACCAACAGTTCTACGATGATCAGCAGATGCATCAACTGGACTATGGGCATCATGCTTTCATGCCATCAGAAGACAGTTTGTTGTTTTCTCTAGGACCTAGGAAGGAGATTATTGGAAGCATGCCCAGTCCTTACTCCCTGGGCTCTGGGCTTCCAAGCAAGCAGCTCCAGTTGCAGCCTGCAACCTTACAGCTGTCCCATCACCGTACACAGTCAGCCAGTCAGGACCTGTTCTACCCGCAGAGCCCTGTATACACACATCTAGCTGGCATCAGCCAGCGCCAGACTCCAAGATTTCATTCAACATTGTGGAAGACAGACACCCAGAGTTCCCCAGCAGCAGTGCCACATTCTCCGAGACCATACCCAGCAAATGTTCTTGTACAGTACTCACATTGTGACCATCCTCAGTCAACTGCTTCTTTGAGACATACTCCAGCTGATGTGCCATCCTTGGGCCACCGCCCTTTGGTTGATCTTAGAAAAAGTAAGTCCAAACGGCCAAAGAGCAAAAAGGAGAAGCAGAAACTTGTAAACTGTATAGTTGATCGCAGCTCCCCTTGCTCAAAAACCTGGACAAAAGTCTCTAAAGTTGCTGCGGTGCCATCCACATCCGCTTCTTTCTTTGGGAACCCAATTGTGTTTGTTGAGCAGCAGACTGCAATCATCAACAGTTCCATAGCTTCATGTCACATGGCTTGTACCAGCCCTTCTCCACATTGTGAAGCAGTCAAGGCGGCCACACACCGACCAGTCATTGATATAGTCAAGACAGTTACCAAACGAACAGCTGATGACACAGTCAGAGCGGCCACCTGGCAAACAGCCAGTGACATGGTGAAGGCAACCACCCACCAAACAGCCAGTGACACGGTGAAGACAGCCACCCACCAAACAGCCAGTGACATGGTGAAGACAGCCACCCACCAAACAGCCATTGACATGGTGAAGACAGCCACCCACCAAACAGCCAGTGACACAGTCAAGGCTGCTACCTGCCAGCCAGCCAGAGAAACAGTTCCTGGCAGCAGGATCAGCATAGTTGCCATTGAAGCTGTCAGAAGTCAGGCTCTGAGAGACCTAGAGAAAAGCACCATTGTAGACAAGGATGAGGAGGATGACCAAAAGACAGCAACTGACTTGGACAGCAATAAAAGTTTTTCAGATACAACAGACAATAATGACTCTGCTTATCTCAGCCAGACAGGCAGTGACCTGGACAGGTCTGACACAGCTGATGGCTTAGATTCCTGCTCAGAAACCAAATTTGCGCCTGTCACAAGCATTTACTCTCAAAACTTGTCCAAACCAAGTGAGAGTAGAAAGAGCCCTGAGTTGACACATGCAGATGAAGCATCACAGCGGATGATGATTTCCCCAGCTGATTGTGTAGTGCTCCAGAGAAAACCTGCAAGTAAATCGCAACCTCAGTTCTGTCCAGTGTCTGCTGTAGGTCAGTTGTCCAGTCCTGCCGCAGAATCACAGGTTGGCCCTGCAGTGGTCATATACAGGAGACCGACTGACACTCTGAAGGACGATATGGAAGTGTGCCAGAAAAGCGTGCCCAGTTGTCTGACTGGAGATTTGTCTAATTTGTTGGCATCGAATAACTGGAACATTCCAGCACTGCAACAGGTCCTGGCCCAGTACAGTAGTGGGCAGCCAGGGCAGTTAAACAGCACGCTTCAGAATGGCCGGTCTCAAACAGTTGCCCACTCTCAAACACTTGCCACAGGTGCCCACTCTCAAACACTTGCCCCAGGTGCCCACTCTCAAACACTTGCCACAGGTGCCCACTCTCAAACACTTGCCACAGGTGCCCACTCTCAAACACTTGCCCCAGGTTCCCACTCTCAAATACTTGCCTCAGGTGCCCACTCTCAAACACTTGCCCCAGGTGCCCACTCTCAAACACTTGCCCCAGGTGCACACTCTCAAACACTTGCCACAAGTGCCCACTCTCAAACACTTGCCCCAGGTGCCCACTCTCAAACAGTTGCCACAGGTGCCCACTCTCAAACACTTGCCACAGGTGCCCACTCTCAAACACTTGCCTCAGGTGCCCACTCTCAAACACTTGCCACAGGTGCCCACTTCCCTGCCAGCAACTTGCTGTCTGCTGCGGCTCGTGCTCAGCTGCATGACCAGCACAAAGTTCACATCACATCCACATTTGCACATGACCAGCACAAATTACACATCCCATCCACACTTGCATATGACCAGCACATCCCATCCACACTTGCACATGACCAGCACAAAGTACACATCCCATCCACACTTGCACACCAACAGCTAAGCTCTGCAGCGGTACCACCATCCCTTATGGACAACTTGTCTGGTTCATCTGTGAGTAGTTCTCTCTGTGACCTGACAGCTGCAAGAGTATCTCCAGCTGTAATTGGAGCTGCCACTGTTACGCAGTCACCCCATATCCAGTGCTTGTATCCACATATGACCAAAAGTGCCAGTTTGGTAGGCAACTTTATGCAATTGCCAGCAGGGAGTGTTGCTGTGAATATGTTGTTGCCAGGTAACTCACATGGGCAGATACTTCCTTCAGATGTGATTCATACCAGAACATTGACAGCAGATCGGGAGGTCACGGTTGAACAGGGAACACCCGTGGGACCTGGACTGTTACCTCAGACATCAGATGCTGGACACCAGATGCAGTTACCAGTGGCCTCAGTAATGGCCTCAAGCCTGGGACCTAATGTTGCCCAGTGTAGCCCCGAGGGGAACGTGCTGCTGCTCAACAACCTGTCACCAAGGATGATAGTCAGTGCTGCCATGCCACCAGTGCCTGTCTCCATTGTGACGAACGTGACACAGTCTGTGATGCCTCAGGTGGTTCCAGCCATCAGCCTCAAGCAGACAGCGCTTGGCAACCAGCAGACCAGTGCTCAGGTTCTGGGTGCTGGGGGACCCATCACCGGCACAACTCCTCAAGCTGTCCATGGAAGACACATTGTGAACCCAACATGTGCCAGCACACAGCTTGTTGGCAACCCACCTCCGACAGCCCAGATTGTCAACACCCTCTCCCTTCAAGGCTTACGTAACCAGCTGGTCATCAGTGGCCCCATGCAGCAGGTCTCTCCATCCATATCCCAGCTGTCTCCTGCTCTAGCAGCCCAGATTTTAACTCACCGAGGTCACCAGCAGCTGCAACAAATGTCGCCATCTTTTCTGCCCAGCCAGCTCCCTACATCAGCCAGTCAGAACATGGTGGCCACTGTGCCGCTGCCAGCTCTGGTAGCAGCCACCTCATGCAGCCTGGACTCTACTGCATCAGCAGTTGTCAGTGCTAACATTCACAAGAATATTGAAGCACACAAACTCCTGGACACAGCTGAGATGGTAAATAAAGTGTCTGTGGCTACAGATAGCCTGGCACCCTTGAGCAGCAGTTCGTTGTATGCGGCAACAAGCCAGCCAGTGTTTGTGATACCACAACCCAGGGCCAATCCTTTAGTGCAGGTATTAGCACCAGCACAGACATTGAACACAAGCACCAGCCTCACAGATATACATCTCCAACAGAATGCTTTATCACAGATATTTGGGCAGTCTGCATCAATTGACCAGTCACAGCTGGCAGTGCAGCAGATGGTGAATGCAGTCAGCTTGAGTGGTGTTCAGCAGAAGCAGCAACTGCAGATTGTTCAGCTGCAGCAGTTAATGCTTCAACAGTTTCATAACCAGGGACAGAACATTCAAGGCATCACACTGCCGCTGAACCAGACCTCCAGCCACGGTCAAGCAACAGGCGTGGCCACCCCAGCTCTGGTCAGTGTGCCCCAGCAGCAAGCAGTACAGGTTAGAAACTCCAGCAGCTTACACTCCAGCCTGTCCCCACTGGGCCAGAGCTATCAGCTGCAGCAGATGCCTTCAGTATTGGCAGTGCAGCAGGTGACATCTGTCAGTTCTGGAGCTGCAGTTGGTGTTATGCAGATTGGAGGTGTGCAGGCTTCAGGCCAGCACTCACAGACAGGTCATTCCCTTCAGCAGCAGTCACTGTTTTCAGACTCCACTTCTGAGAGCAGTCAGACAGCAATCGCAGATGTGGCTGCTGCTGCCTCTCATGAGCCACAGCGCCTTTCTACAGCTTTGACCCAGCACTTGGCCACAACTTGCTCTCAGTCTGCAGTAACCAATTTGCCTGTGGTAAAACCCTGTCAGCCTGCTAAACCCAAGCCAAAGTCCAAGTGTAAAAGGTCAGAAAACAAGAAATCTGTCCACCCAGAGACTGAGAGAAATGAGGAGGATGTAGCAGCCACAGTCCAGCAGATCTTAGCTCAGGCCGTTCAACAGCAGAGAGAGTTAAGTTTGGCTGCCAAGAATCAGCCCCTACCACCCCCGAAAGGTAAGAGTAAGAAGTCACGGTCAAAGACTAGCCAAGCTGCTAAAGAGCATGACCTGGGAAGGCTGGCCAGTATCTCAGATGATGTGACAGTTCTCAGATCAGATCACTTGCCAGAGCTATCCCAGCCAGCTGGTGTGCTGGAGCCACAGTATTTCATCAAGTCTAGCCTCAGTGATGTCCACCAATCACAGCACAGGGTGCTGGCTGCCTCATCACCAGGCTTGCTTCATGTGAGCACCGTGACAAACAGCAGCCCCAGACAGGCCGCCACCTGGGAGGAACATGCTGTAGGCGATGCCAACCCTCTTGGCTGCAGCATCAAAAGATCCTCCATCTCCCTGAAAGATCATTTATCTTTCATTATCTCCAAGGACAAAGACGGTCATAGTAAGAGGTCTACTGCAGAAGTGCAGCCACAAGCTAAAACATGGGCAGGCCTCACACTACAGCCCACACCTTTGCTGACTGGCTTCACATCACAGCTGCCTGCCACAGTCAGCTCTGACATCTTGTTTCAGTCAAAGATCTAGGAGGGAACTCTAGAGTGACTATCGTATCCATCATATTTGGCTTGGCTGCATGAAAGCAAGCAACAGGACTTCTCTTCAAATCTGAGGTTGAAACCCTGACTCTTAATGTGCCACAGCACTGAGGTTGAAACCCCTATTCTCATAGTTAAGATACCACAGCACTGAGGTTGAAACCCCTATTCTCATAGTTAAGATACCACAGCACTGAGGTTGAAACCCCTATTCTCATAGTTAAGATACCACAGCACTGAGGTTGAAACCCCTATTCTCATAGTTAAGATACCACAGCACTGAGGTTGAAACCCCTATTCTCATAGTTAAGATACCACAGCACTGAGGTTGAAACCCCTATTCTCATAGTTAAGATACCACAGCACTGAGGTTGAAACCCCTATTCTCATAGTTAAGATACCACAGCACTGAGGTGTTTCCACATGCCATTCAGAACTTGTATCACAGGGACCCCAAGCTTGTATGCTATGTGGGGGAAAAAAAGGGATGGGGGGTCGGTGCGGTGTGCCAAGACTAAACCTGTGGACAGACATGGTCTAAACTGGTGTTGTGTGTTCTCACGCTGAGCTCAAATGAAGTCATGTGGCACACCTGTGGCTGTCTGCTAGTCATCTTCAACAGTGGTTTCCAGTTAGTGATCTCGGTGGCCACCAAACCCATGGGTTCAGTGATCACAATGGCCACCAAACCCATGGGTTTAGTGATCTCTGTGACCGCCAAACCCATGGGTTCAGTGATCTCAGTGACCACCAAACCCATGGGTTCAGTGATCTCTGGCCACCAAACCCATGGGTTCAGTGATCTCAGTGGCCACCGAACCCATGGGTTCAGTGATCTCAGTGACCACACACACACACAAAAACCTCAACCCCTTTTTATGTGATTCTAAAATAGATTTTTCATTATGGATATTATAAGTGTGGAAAGGTGGGGGGGGGGGGGGGGTGGGGGTCATGGCAGTCCTAAAATAACAGGTGAAGAGGGTAAGTGTGATCTACTGGGTGCCACTGATCTACACCATTCTCTTATGTAAATGTTACTGCTTGTACCATTGTGGTGTATATTAATGTACTGCATACATCATCCTCTTATGTAAATGTTATTGTTGATTCCATTTTCTAGTTATCAGTTATTGTGCATGTTAGCAGTGGTTGATATGGGTTTGTTATGAAGATCAGGGTACTGGGTCTATGTTATCAAGTCATGTATAAATTGTCTGTCTCCACACGTAATACAGTGGGACTGTCTGCAGCCCTTTTTTTTTTAAACACTCAAGTCAGTGCCATATTTAACCTGTGACACAGGAGGGGAGTTGTGACACAGAAGGAGAGATTGTGAGTTGAGGTGATACACAGGAGGGAAGATTGTGAGTTGAGGTGTGACACAGGAGGACAATTGTGAATTGAGGTGTGACTCAGGAGGGAAGAGTGTGAGTCGAGGTGTGACACAGGAAAACGATTGTGAGTTAAGGTGTGACACAGAAAAAGAGATTGTGAGTTGAGGTGTGACACAGGAGGATGATTGTGAGTTGAGGTGTGACACAGGAAGGAAGATTGTGAGTCGAGGTGTGACACAGGAGGACGATTGTGAGTTGAGGTGTGACACAGGAGGAGAGATTGTGAGTTGAGGTGTGACACAGGAGGAGAGATTGTGAGTTGAGGGGTGACACAGGAGGACGATTGTGAGTTGAGGTGTGACACAGGAGAACGATTGTGAGTTCAGGTGTGACACAGGAGGAGAGATTGTGAGTTGAGGTGTTACACAGGAGGACGATTGTGAGTTGAGGTGTGACACAGGAGAACGATTGTAAGTTGAGGTGTGACACAGGAGAAGAGATTGTGAGTTGAGGTGTGACACAGGAGGATGATTGTGAGTTGAGATGTGACACAGGAGGGAAGATTGTGAGTCGAGGTGTGACACAGGAGTTAACATTGTGAGTTGAGGTGTGACACAGGAGGGATGATTGTGAGTTGAGGTGTGACACAGGAGGGACGATTGTGAGTTGAGGTGTGACACAGGAGAGAAGATTGTGAGTTGAGGTGTGACACAGGAGGGAAGATTGTGAGTCGAGGTGTGACACATGAGTTAACATTGTGAGTTGAGGTGTGACACAGGAGGGATGATTGTGAGTTGAGGTGTGACACAGGAGGGACGATTGTGAGTTGAGGTGTGACACAGGAGAGAAGATTGTGAGTTGAGGTGTGACAGGAGGGACGATTGTGAGTTGAGGTGTGACACAGGAGAGAAGATTGTGAGTTAAGGTGTGACACAGGAGGGATGATTGTGAGTTGAGGTGTGACCCAGGAGGGAAGATTGTGAGTTGAGGTGTACAAGAGGTGGAGTAAATGTCAGGGCAGCAATCTTTTGAGGGAAAGACTTTTCTCGGAAGTGAGACTGATCATGGCACTTAACTCTGTTGATGCGGTCACATGGAATGTTGGATAGCCTAATGACTGGAATGTTGAGGCAAAATAGTTGCAACGGTGGAATTTTGGGGCATAATGGTTGCAACTGGAATGTTAGGGCACCGTTGTTGCATTTTTTAGTGCAAGAGAGCCTAGTATATATGACACCACAACATCTAGCATAAGAATGGAGGTGAAAGCAGTAACTGCAGCTCTCCAATGGCTAGAGAACAAGATGCATTCACATGTTGTAATTTTAACAAACGCTGAAATGCATGCTGAAAAAGGTAAAGACAGGGATGCTTCGAGCAGAGTGGCAAGCTTCACTGGAAAGGTCATAGGTAGTGAGCATACTCTGAATCTTTTCTCCAGGTTGTGTCGGCATGGTGGGTAATGAACAAGTAGACAGATTGGCTGGATCTGTACCACTGGGTGGTGAATTGATACATGACAAGGCAGATGTGGTCAAGGCCTTTTGAGAACAAGCAACGGAATCAGTAGAGAAAGATTATTATGGCCTGGAGAAAATGAGACACCTAGGTGTAACAAGAGGGTCTGGCCGGCTCGCTACACTTAAGAAGAAAGGGAAGACGGACATTTAACCAGATTGTGACTGGTACCATCAGTATTGGAACTCTGCGTTGGCTGCTGAGGATGAGGAAGGGGCATGCATGGGAATGCCCAGAGTGCTGCGATGTCAGTTCTTGACTCAACTCAGCTGTTGCAGCTGTAGAATGTTGGGACATCATGGTTGCAAATGAGGGATGTTTGGCTAGTTCTAGGTAACAGTTGTTAAAATTCTGGTTGTACATTTCTGGTAGAAGCATGGCTGTCACTGGTGTTGATGGGGCCTCACCAGATGCTTGCTGATTTCAGGAGAGTGGATAATATGTCCTGTTCATCTCAGAGATTTCCATTAGGGAAGTGTATGTCTGTGTATCTGTGAGTGGATCTTATGTCAGCTGTTTGTCTGTAGATATGATTTGTCTGTGTATCTGTGAGTGGATCTTATGTCAGCTGTTTGTAGATATGATTTGTCTGTGTATATGCAGCAGATTGGTACACTTCATCAACAGGTGAAAACTGTACATATATGTTTCTGTATGTACATATACAGTGATTGTGTACAGGTGTGCCTGTAGACTTATACGTTTACAGAATTTTGTCCATTTCTAATACACTTGTGGCCACATATGGGGATGTTTTGATAAACTTAGCAATCATAATTGTAAATAATCATTTGGTAATTTATGAACTTGTTCATCATGCTGTCTGTTATTTGCTTACCTAAACGTGTGACAGTTTAGGCAGGTGTGACTGCCTGCTAGTCTCCTGTGCAGGAAGTCAGCTGTGACTGCCAGCTAGTCTCCCATGCAAGAATTGTGAGTTCAGTCAAGTGTGACTGACTGCTAGTCTCCCATACAGGAATTGTGAGTTTAGTCAAGTGTGACTGCCTGCTAGTCTCCCATGCAGGAATTGTAAGTTTAGTCAAGTGTGACTGCCTGCTAGTCTCCCATGCAGGAATTGTAAGTTTAGTCAAGTGTGACTGCCTGCTAGTCTCCCCTGCAGGAAGTTGTGACAGTTTAGTCAAGTGTGACTGCCTGCTAGTCTTCCCTGCAGGAAGTTGCGACAGTTTAGTCAAGTGTGACTGCCTGCTAGTCTCCCATGCAGGAAGTTGTGACAGTTTAGTCAAGTGTGACTGCTTGCAGGAAGTTGTGACAGTTCAGTCAAGTGTGACTGCCTGCTAGTCTCCCCTGCAGGAATTGTGACAGATTAGTCAAGTGTGACTGCCTGCTTGTCTCCCCTGCAGAAAGTTGTGAGTTCAGTCAAGTGTGACTGCCTGCTTGTCTCCCCTGCAGAAAGTTGTGAGTTCCGTCAAGTGTGACTGCCTGCTTGTCTCCCCTGCAGAAAGTTGTAAGTTCAGTCAAGTGTGACTGCCTGCTAGTCTCCCCTGCAGGAATTGTGAGAGATTAGTCAAGTGTGACTGCCTGCTTGTCTCCCCTGCAGAAAGTTGTGAGTTCAGTCAAGTGTGACTGCCTGCTTGACTCCCCTGCAGAAAGTTGTGAGTTTAGTCAAGTGTGAGTATGCAGCATTATGACATGTGAAATTCTACAACAGTGCCAGCAATAGTGACTAGTCTCGTGTGGTGCTGTCTGCTGTTTTATTGTCTCAGTTGCCATGCTAAGAGGTCGGCCACTCCGCTTTTCTTCACTGACGTTATCGCTTCCATTAAAAAATTGTTCCACCCATTCATGCATTTTCCTGTGGCACAAACAACTGTCTCCATACAGGGCCTTCATTCTACTATAGGTTTTACGATGGTTTAACACCCTGTGCCCAGAGAAAAACAAATAACCCTTCATTGCTCCTCAATAGTGTTTGTTAACAGTGCTGCATCCATCTTGTTCGAGCTGTTGCACATGTGCACACTGCTAAATAGTCACGACACATACTTTGGGTATTGAGTAGGGGCCATTGTGTGTCGTGAAATTATATTTTTCTTCTACATATGTTCCGTCAGACTAGAATTACAGTTGCCTTTAGTTAATGACATTCCCTCGTTTAACATCACTCATGTTGTCATATTTTGTGACATGACTGGGTGTGTGTGTGAGAGAGAGGTCATATTTTGTGTGTGTGTGTGTGTACAAGAAAGAGTGGTCATATTTTGTAACATGACTGTGTGTGAGTGGTCATGTTTTGTGACATGACTGGGTGTCTGTGTGTGAGAGGGGGGGGGGGGGGAAGCTCTAACTACACTTGCTTGTATCTTTTTCTTCATCAGTTTCCACCTTCTTGTAAATTGGTGTCATTTGTTGTTGCAACTTAAACAAAAAATGTTTATGTTGCCTAACATAAACATTAGATGTCATATGTTACTCTCACATAAACATCAGGTGTCATATGTTGAAACACAAGCATTCTATGTTTCTGTAACATAAAACACTATATGGTATATGTTTTTGTAACATAAAGCATTATATGTTATATGTTTTTGTAACATAAAACTTGATGTGATACATTGCTGAGACAAAATGCCATTTATGACAACTTGCTATAATATAAAATTATAGTATTACATGTTGCTCTGATATCAGATATGTTGTGGGATGTTGTGCTGGCGTTCACATGTGGGATGTTGTGCTGGTGTACACATGTGGGATGTTGTGCCTTTCATACACACGTGGGATGTTGTGCTGGTGTACACATGTGGGATGTTGTGCTAGCGTACACATGTGGGATGTTGTGCCTTTCGTACACATGTGGGATGTTGTGCCTTTCGTACACATGTGGGATGTTGTGCTGGTGTACACATGTGGGATGTGCTGATGTACACAGGTTCTGATGTCACCAGCTCACATATAACATGATTAGAGATAGGCCCCCCTAGGTATAACATAATCAGAGATAAGCAACCCAGGTATAACATATCAGAGACAGGCTCCCATGTATAACATAATCAGAGATAGGCTCCCATGTATAACATAATCAGAGATAGGCCCCCATGTATAACATAATCAGAGATAGGCCCCCATGTATAACATAATCAGAGATAGGCCCCCAGGTATAACATAATCAGAGATAGGCCCCCAGTTATAACATAATTAGAGGTAGGCCTACAGTTATAATCAGAGGTAGGCCCCCAGGTATAACAATTACATTAAAAGTCATCTCTGTAATAGTCTCTTTATTGATTAACACAATGCAACGAAGATGAACTGCTGATTACAGAACTACGGTCTGTCCTACTACTTGCAAATACACATTGGTATACTTCAAGGTGGTGACACCTAGCCTTGACTTGACATGAGTCCACAACATAAGACACCTTCCGCCTAGGGCCCACTCTTGGGGTCACCAGACGCCTTTAATAAATGCATTCAGCTGAGCACCCATTATCTGGGTCACCAATAACCCACAACAGCTATCACCATCGAAGGGTGATGTGCTACACGACCCGCAAGGTTATATCCAGCAGCCACTGGCAATGACCAACACTGACAAATATACTCAGTCAATTAACACAGTGGTCAGATAAAGTGTTGGCTCTCACCGTTTAGTCACCATTAAATACACACACGGAATAATACACCAAATTCAACTGAACATTTCAAAAGAATAAAATAGTATGTACACATCATATGATTAAACTCACACACGTCCGCACTGTCTCACTGACCATGAGGCACTCGGGTAGACATGGGTTCCCCTTCAGCAGCCCGTCACACCTGGGTCTCACAGTACCCGTAGAGACAACTGTTATCTGTTAAATCTCAAGATTCACTTGTCTCACAGCTTTAATCTGCGTGGATCTTTTGCACTCATCTCTGTCATCATCATCACCACCTAGCATCTTTACGACTGGCATAGGTAATCATGCCTCTGACCTCTGGTACTCTTGAATAGCAATGTGAGTTCAGCACACAATAGAAGATAAGTGTAGAGTGATGGCAAGATTTGAGTAATGTATATCTATAACATACAAATAATCTTATCAGGGCTATGGATGCTTTGAGTACATGTACTTTTAGACATTTAATCTGGACGAATGCGTGTGATCCGACATCTAGCCGCCACTGCTAGTCTGTCAGATATCATATGTATCAGGGCTGGGCATAACGGCCTCCTGTACATAAAATGTCATGTATCTGTTCTTGTGTTCGACATGATGTGAGACACTGCTGCGATGATGGGCTGTGTGGGTGTGGCCACATTAAAGACTGCTGTGATGTCAGCCTGTGAGGATATGTGGGTGTGGCCACATTGAAGACTGCTGTGATGTCGGCCTGTGTGAATATGTGTGTGTGGCCACATAAAAGACTGCTGTGATGTCAGCCTGTGTGGATATGTGTGTGTGGCCACATTAAAGACTGCTGTGATGTCGGCGTGTGTGGATATGTGTGTGTTGCCACATTAAAGACTGCTGTTGGCCTGTGTGGATGTGTAGCCACATCTGCATTGATCAACCCACTAATACATTTGTACTGAAGACATACACATACATATGTCCTTGTCTTGTTTATTGTTGTTTAATGTAAGCACTGAGCCTCTCTCTCCTGCAAAACCTCTGACAACAAAAGACATCATGATGTCACTTTTTGCTTACATTCCACAAGACTGTCTGTTCCCACCCCACTAGACATAACAATGTCACAGATTTCAGACCCCACAACGTCACAAATTGTTTAGACCCAACAATGTCACAGACTGTTTAGATCCCACAAGACATCAGAATGTCACACGATATCACATAAAATTGTTTCTCTTCATAAAACTGTTTCACCTTGTACATACGCAATGAAAATGTCTATTCTGTATTTGACATCTCTACATAATTGACCTTTCTCTACCTGACACACATCTCAAACGCAACACAAACATTTATCCAAACACATAATCACAGTTGACTATAGATTTCTGTAGCACACATGTGATCACTGACTAGCTATCTACCCTTGTCAGAACTAAATGTACTCTCTAGTGGATCCGATTTGGTTGTTGCTGTGAACAGCTCATGGAGTTGCCCAAGTTGTTCATCTCGAAAATTGTCCAACATTTCTGGAGACAAATGCTGCCCAATGTCAGGCTGCTTCTGTCTCTGTCTCAGTTGTCTTGCCAAGGTTACGTAGTATTTCTGTAAATGTATTTATAAAAACATCAATATAATATGGCATAGTAATAGCTTTTAGGAGCCATTCAGGAGTCACAATATTACATAACTTTCTTGGAGACATACATACATACATACATACATACAGGAGTCACTTACAATATTACATAACTCATAACTTTCTAGGGGCCATCCACATATGCAGGAGTGCCTCACAATATTACATAACTTTCTATGAGTCATACATACAGGAGTCCCTCACAATATTACATAACTTTCTGGGAGTTATACATAAGTACTGGAGTTGCTCACAATATTACATAACTTTCTGGGTGTCCTACATACATACAGGAGTTGCTTGCAATATCACATAACTTTCTGGGAGTTATACATACATGAGTTTTCTTCTGTTCTATAACGTCCATGCTGGATGGCGTTTGTTGTCATGACTATCCACAACCTTCTGTTTCATGTACTTTCAGTCAACTCTGACACAGATGTTTCTCAATGCCCTATGGCGTTGGTAGTCATGTCTTTCCACAATCTTCTGTCTCGTGTACTTTCAGTCAACTCTGACACAGATGTTTTTCAATGCCGTATGGCGTTGGTAGTCATGTCTTTTCACAACCTTGTCTTGTGTACTTTCAGTCCTCTAACACAGATGATCCTCTATGCCGTGTGGCGTTGGTAGTCATGAATTTCCACAACCTTCTGTTTCATGAACTTTCAGTCAACTCTTGACACAGATAATCCTCTATGCCGTGTGGCGTTGGTAGTCATGTATTTCCACAACCTTCTGTTTCATGAACTTTCAGTCAACTCTTGACACAGATAATCCTCTATGCCGTGTGGCGTTGGTAGTCATGTATTTTCACAACCTTCTGTCTCGTGGACTTTCAGTCAACTCTTGACACAGATAATCCTCCATGCAGTGTGGTGTTGGTAGTCATGTATTTTCACAACCTTCTGTTTCATGAACTTTCAGTCAACTCTTGACACAGATAATCCTCCATGCAGTGTGGTGTTGGTAGTCATGTATTTTCACAACCTTCTGTTTCATGAACTTTCAGTCAACTCTTGACACAGATAATCCTCCATGCAGTGTGGTGTTGGTAGTCATGTATATCCACAACCTTCTGTCTAGTGGACAGTCAACTCTGACAGAGGATCCTCCATGCCGTGTGGCATTGGTAGTCATGTCTATCCACAACCTTCTGTCTCGTGGACTTTCAGTCAACCCTTGACACAGATAATCCTCCATGCCGTGTGGTGTTGGTAGTCATGTATATCCACAACCTTCTGTCTCGTGGACTTTCAATGATCCTTCATGCCGTGTGGCATTGGTAGTCATGTCTATCCACAACCTTCTGTCTCGTGGACTTTCAGTCAACTCTTGACACAGATAATCCTCTATGCCGTGTGGCATTGGTAGTCATGTATTTTCACAACCTTCTGTCTCGTGGACTTTCAGTCAACTCTTGACACAGATAATCCTCTATGCCGTGTGGCATTGGTAGTCATGTCTATCCACAACCTTCTGTCTCGTGGACTTTCAATGATCCTTCATGTCATGTGACGTTGGTAGTCATGTCTATCCACAACCTTCTGTCTCGTGGACTTTCAATGATCCTTCATGTCATGTGGCGTTGGTAGTCATGTCTATCCACAACCTTCTGTCTCGTGGACTTTCAATGATCCTTCATGTCATGTGGCGTTGGTAGTCATGTCTATCCACAACCTTCTGTCTCGTGGACTTTCAATGATCCTTCATGTCATGTGGCGTTGGTAGTCATGTCTATCCACAACCTTCTGTCTCGTGGACTTTCAATGATCCTTCATGTCATGTGGCGTTGGTAGTCATGTCTATCCACAACCTTCTGTCTCGTGGACTTTCAATGATCCTTCATGTCATGTGGCGTTGGTAGTCATGTCTATCCACAACCTTCTGTCTCGTGGACTTTCAATGATCCTTCATGTCATGTGGCGTTGGTAGTCATGTCTATCCACAACCTTCTGTCTCGTGGAATTTCAATGATCCTTCATGTCATGTGGCGTTGGTAGTCATGTCTATCCACAACCTTCTGTCTCGTGGACTTTCAATGATCCTTCATGTCATGTGACGTTGGTAGTCATGTCTATCCACAACCTTCTGTCTCGTGGACTTTCAATGATCCTTCATGTCATGTGACGTTGGTAGTCATGTCTATCCACAACCTTCTGTCTCGTGGACTTTCAATGAATGCTGACACAGATGATCCTCTATGCCATAACGTCAAAATGTCCGTCTTTGGGGTCTTCCTCTGCCTCTTCTCCCCTCCAACTTTTCTACTGTAACTCCAGTTTTTTCTCCTCATTACCTGACCAGAGAATGTAGTTTTTTTTAATGTGCACAATCAGTTTCTTTCGAGACATCCTCATTACTCTTTTTATCAGTCTAGGGTATTCTCATAATTTGTCAACAAAACCACATCTCTGCAGCTTCCAAATAATTATTTACTAATCTACCAACTGTCCATGATTCATTTCCATATATCAAGATAGGGTTTATATAGCTTTTAAGATTCTCTTTTTCATCTCAACTGACAAAGAAAGATTGCATACAATATTCTTCATTTTGTAAAATGCTGCCTTTGCTTGAGCTATTCTACACTTATCTTCTTTAATACATCTTCCATCTGATGTTATCAGGGTACCTTAAAAACTTATCATCTTGTTTGAGGTTTGTCATATTTACTTTGACATTACAATTAGGAGTCAGTTTTCTTTGTAATTGCCATTACTTCTGTTTTTCTGCTGTTCAAACTAAGACCCTTGTTTTCACTTTCCGTTACAATTATATCCATCATTTCTAATTAGTTGTGTTTCATTTTCAGCAATCAAAACTATATCTTCAGCATATCACAGGTTGTTAACAGGAGTCACTCAATATATTACAAGACTTTCCAGGAGCCATTCATACATACAGGAGTCAGTATATTACAACTTTTCAGGAGCCATTCATACATACAGGAGTCACTCAATATATTACAAGACTTTCTAGGAGTCATTCATACATACAGGAGCCACTCAGTATATTACATGACTTCCTGAGTGTATAGGAGTCAGTCAGTATATTACATCACTTTTGGGAGCCATTTATGCATACAGGAGTCACTATATATATTACACGACTTTCTGGGGGTCACTCCTACATGTAGGAGTCACTAGTTACGTATTTCTGATAGGAATGAGCTGACATGAAATGCTCACTTACTGTCCATTCCTGCATGAAGATGTCCGCCTCCTGTGGCTGGGCACTTTTATGGGCACGGAATTCTTCTCTCACATAATTGTCTCCCAGAGACCTCATCTCCAATGGTAGCCCTCTGTGCAGCTTTAGGATAGCTTTGAACAGGGCTCGAACCCTAGAGACATGGCTGATGTTTGATGCCATCTGTTGACAGAAGAGGCATTTGCTGTATCAGAAAACTTAAGTATCAATGTAAGAAGACATGGATGTCAGCTGTAAAAAACAGACAGGTGTCAAGTAAGCACACATGTGTTGACAGTGGGATACAAGCACAGACAGGTGCTGACAGTGGGATACAAGCACAGACAGGTGTCAAGTAAGCACACAGGTGTTGACAGTGGGATACAAGCACAAACAGGTGTCAAGTAAGCACACATGTGTTGACAGTGGGATACAAGCACAGACAAGTGTCAAGTAAGCACACAGGTGTTGACAGTGGGATACAAGCACAGACATATGTCGGCCTTTATACATAACCAATGATATGGGTTGACAGTGAGTTGTAAGTACAGACAGGTGTTGACAATAAGATGTAAGCAGACAGGTGATGACAGTAAGATGTAATGAGTACAGATAGGTGTTGACTAAGCAAACCTGGATATCAAATGCAAATGTAGCCTTGAACATGATTACTAGCAGTCTGATCACATGAGATTCTCTTGGTCATCACAGTGCTGGTGTAACCCACTCTTACACAAAGGTACATATATACACACAGGTATACAGTGTATAATACACACACACATACGTATATACACATGTACATATATATATATATATACACACAGGTATGTATACACAGAAACAATCACATATCTTACCTACAGATGGGCATGCAGGCATAAACAAATGCCATTAGTATTAATTATAATAATATATTAGGCTCTCCTTGCACCTTTGGACGCTAGCTGGACGGCTTAGGTCGGCTTAGTGGGAGTTCTCTCTCTTGGCCGCATTGAAAACAACGAGCGGAAAAGTCACGAATCAAATGACATACTTACCTTTCATCATCCGGGTGCGTGTAGGGTTGCGTACAGTTGCGTGTAGGGTTGTGTAGTCATCATACGGTTGTCTAGGGTTACCTATCATTATACGGTTGCGTGTAGGGCTGCGTAGGGTGTCTATCATCATCATACGGTTGCGTGTGTGGGTTGGGGGTAGGGTTAGGGTTAGATGTGAAAATGGTGACGTAGAACTTCCAAATACTGGGCGACAATCTGATGCTTGTGGGAGTGGCGCCACTGGAAGTGTGCCAAATATGACGGCAATAGCGCGCGGCTGGTGCCCAATCGGTGGCGAATTGTCCGTGTCAGTAGCATCCACCGTCCGTCGACTGTTTGGGTGTGTATGTGACTGTGCGCGATTATAGGGAACTACGGCGTCAAAATTGTCACATCTAACGCTAAACCTAACTCTACCCCTAACCCCACCCCTAACCGTAACCCTAACGCTACCCCTAACCGTAACCCTAACGCTACCTCTAATCCTAACCCTAATCCTACCGCTAACCCTAACCCTACCCCTAACAACACAAAATTATCGGTCATTAACTCTTTGAGTCCCAAGGAACGCATCACGCGCTAATTTTTTACTACTTGGCGGCCCAAACAGCGCATGACGTGTGACGGTTTTTAATTTACCACTTATCGGTAATTACACGTGAACCGCTCAATTTAAACTTCCTTTCTGGTTCTCAAGTGTGTAGTGTACACACGTGGAGTGCATTCGTTTGGGTCTGGTGAGTTTTTAACGCTTTAAATCGATATTTGTGTGGTCTACTACATTACCAAACAATTGTCTGAAAACAATATGTCCGATCAGTCATCGTCTTCACGCCCATCAAAGCGATTTACTGCTTTAGAATCATCAAATTTGATAAAACAGTGGATCAGTTAAAGTAATGTGGAGTTGGATAATGAAAGTAGCGACGTGAAATTTCCCCAAACCGTTGACGAGTCAAGTTTTGATGAGGATGTGTGCGTAATTTACCTCTTGCTAAGAGGACAAAACTGACTAATTCTGCCTTGGCAACACAAGAGAAGCACCTCGTAACACGACACCAGCTAGTCCAAATGTCAGCGCTTCTAGTACTTCTATCCATATAATCTAAAACCATAGATATATATCTATGAACAGATTGACATGTTTACAGTGCCTTTACAGTTTTTTTCTATGTGAAGAATTCAATTGTTTTTTTAAAAGTCACTATTTGTACCACTGAAGAATATATTTTGACGTGTTATGGTAGTGTTATTAAAATTGCTATAGAACAAAAACTATTGCACATTTTGCTTTAATATTGGCTGTGCATACTTATAAGTGGTGTACCTTCCTTTGTGATGTATTTTAGATATACTATATCAAGAATTTTGGGATCAGCTTCTGGGTAAGTGGAAAAAACTTGTTCATAATTTACTCACCTCTCAAACTAAGTCACTGTTTTCTCTACTAAAAACTAACTAACAGTATAATTGTTTGTTGTAGCAGTATGCTAATATTAATCCTTATCCATTTATGTTTAATTTTATGTATGAGATGTGAATGTTGGACATCAGCTGCAGTTGTGAGGTTTGTTTTAAAGTTCTGCATTTGTTAAAAGTCAAAATCATATTACCCCCCTTGGGCCCCTGGTGCAAAACCCCCTGGGATTCAAAGAGTTAAAGCATACAGATCGGCAAAACACCCAAAAAAAAAAAAAACAGATTTCCCCGCAGCGTCAAAAGAAAAACCCAGATCTGGGGGACACAACCAAGCATTGGCAGCCCTGATGCGACCTCACTGTCTTGTTTGATTCGTGAATTTTTTCCGCTACTTGTTGTCAATGCGGCCAATGGAGAGAATTCCCGCTAAGCCATCCAGCTAGCGTCCAAAGGTGCAAGGAGAGCCATATAATACTATTATTTAATAATAAAATATGAAGGCACACCTGTAATCAGACATACACCCGTTCCCGTAAGGGAAAGAGTCAGGTTGAATGTCGTAAAAGGCGAATAATCTTGGGACATCAGAAATCAGACGTGTTGGGCCGAAAGGTGCAGATATCGCAGCCTAGCCTAGATGTCGATGCAAAATATTAAAACCTACCAGTGGCCATTAAAAAAAAAAAATACATACAAGGTACAAACAGATATAATGTAACCATCTTACATATCCTTTGGAAATAAAGTTCGTTGGAATATATGTCGTCTGGGGTTCGCAGATATCTTTTCTATCATTCGTCACTGCCTTACCTTGATAATTTTCTAAGTCTCTGTGTCCAAGACTTAAAGGTGACAGGCCAGTATGAGCAGATTCTAGTGCTCCAGTCTACATAAACGCTAAGCCTTTGACCTGTACAACCGACTCTGTGGAAGCAGTAAACCTCAGACCTCACTGGGGAACTACAACAAGACGGGTCATTGGACCAACTTGTGGTCAGGGTTGCCAGATTTAAAAAATGTAAGCCAGACTACTACCTAAAAAAACGTCAGAAAACGCCAAATATAATGTAACATTTTACTGACTTCACATCAAAAGTTTAAGATTGAATACCTGACTGTCATCCTCACTGGAACACGTGAAAGATACAGGGTAAACCCTTTCAGCCTTAAGTGCAGACAAATTTTTTTTTTTTTTTTAAAAAATTATGCATGAGCATTTAGTTCTGTGTAACTTTATGTGCTCCAATGTACTCCCCCGACCATGCACTTTCACGATTTCACTTAGATGATTTTTTTTTACGTATCCAGAAACCATGAGTTGTAAACCCTTTGGCTCGGTACTATGGATATCGTAACCCTTCGGCCTTGATTCCATTATAGGTACCGTTAATCTGGGAGAAATGTGGCTTTTCTGCCTACCCCCGGGAGTGAACCCGGACCACAAGGAGTTCGTCACCCGGCCGCCGCGAAAGTCAGGTTTAACCAACTTCGCTAGAGAGCCGGGCCACTTAGATGATCAATTGTGCGTATTGCACTATGGCAGGCCATACTTACAGCAAGTTGCAACTCTGCTGCCTTAACTGTATCATTACTTTGTCTAGCAGATTGTGACCCGTACCATCAGTATTGGAACTCTGCGCTGGCTGCTGAAGATGAGGACGGAGCATGCATGGGAATGCACCGAGTGCTGTGATGTCAATTTTTGACTCAACTCGACGCAGTCATTTTTTGAAAAATGCAAAACTGGCTTTTTGTTTGGAGTTATCATCCCGTGTTTTCGGATTTTTCATGATTTGATGTTACTAATTCTTGGCGTAACAGTGCACAGACACAGTTTACAATATGCTGCCTCTGATCCGTCTGAAGACTTTTTGAGCCATAGGTATGTTTTCTCCCTATTACTATTACATGTGCAATTGCTGTCATAAGATGCTTTACATTTTTTGATGACGTAGCCAATGGTAAAAGTAATAAAAATCTATCACAAATAGAACTAGATCTATTTCATCTCTATTTTATAGCCTGAAGTAATTTCTAAACAGTCTAAATTACTTGTTATCAGTTGTGGGTTTGGGTTTTATATCCCGAAGAGGGCCTTGGTTTATCGAAGTCACGATACGTTTAAGAAGACGACAACAAATACAAAAAGAGATTGTGCGAATCTCCGTTAGTCTGTACCAAGACATTGCAACAAAGTCAAATTAAAAAAAAAAAAAAAAAGATATTAACTGCAGGCTTACATTGCTTTAAGTACATCTGCGTGTTTTTCACAGAGGAACTGACGAAAATGTGAGCACGTTTTGTTTAGAAAAGCCAGGAAAAACCCAAATAAGCCGAAATACACCAGATCAATTTCAAATACGCCAAATTTATGAGATCTGGCGTCAAATATGCCAGTATGACAACCCTCCCTTTGACTACTTTCAGTATGCATTACTTTGTTCTGCTACAGACAACAGTTGACAGCAGTATCAAATGTGGCTCGCCTTCCCACATTCTTCTCAGCTGGACGCTAACAAATAATTTGTGATGGCAGAATCTGTGCATAATTATTGTTTGTACATATATAACCTCTAGACTCTCCCAGGTGCAGGAAACGCGTTTAATGCCGTTATTGTTCATAGGGACGGTAATCTGGGTGTTCAGGTTCATGGGGGTACACCCCGATTGTGTGCATGCCATACATCCTTGCATTGCCGACTATTGCAGATAGGCTAAAGGTGC